CAGGCAATGGCTAAATATTGAAAGTAAGGCCAAAGACCATTCTTTTGTCATTTTGGGGGAATATCAATTTTCAGCAGTTAAAGGTAAAGTCATTGTAGATATGTGTCTAGCGAGCCAGTATTATTTTTCATTCTTCCAGAATAGAGGCTGCATTTATCATAAGTTATCACATTCAATTGTATTAGCTTGCATGCACTTGATAATAAATATTACAGGGTTCCCCAAACCAGGTAAATTTAAAGTATGAATTTCTGGCTCTGCTCATCAATTATATAAACAGGGAAAGTCATCAATAGCAGTGAGTGTTGGACCAGGGTGGAGCACTGGGCTAAAACAAGGAGGGATATAGATTCTGTTGGCAAGGGTACGGTTGGGTCAATGATGTGGGTCAAATTAAGCACATTAATTATGGTATAGAAATAAGTGGGATATCTAGTTACTCAATAGTATCTTCATCAATACTACTTTACTAGTATTTGGTTTTTCTCCTACCCTGTATTCCATTGAGATACTCAAGAAATGTTAGAACAAGGAAGCAGGCAAGGAATAAGCTAAACGTATGGGAAACAAAACGGGTACTTCAAATGGGAAGGGGATGAATAACATGCGTCCCCAATTTATATTGATCATTACAATATTATATCACTCAGATAAAACACAGTGGCTTGTCAGAGTTTGGAAATTAAATTTCCATCATCAACATTCAGGGGTTCTTGGGGGTGTTTTGTCAGATGGGATGAAAGCGAAACATTTCCTTGTAAATAATAACAAAGCATATATAGTCCATAGAATTGCGTATTCCTTTTGGCAGAGGCACAGTGGTCAGCTTGAAGGTTCCTACCCCCACCATGTGGCGGTGGGCAACCTGAATGTATGTCTGCAAATGCACACATTCACCAGGTGCCCATGTAGCAATATCGTCACCTTCCAGTTGGTTGTGAAATATGATGTTGACTGTTGTTACGTTGATGCTGACTGTTGTTACGTTGATATTGATTTGATAATATTTTCATAATATAAATAAATAATTTAAATAATTTAAAGTAAAAAGAATGTTGATGTTGATGCGTCGGTAGCATGATTGTGAAACCCAACCCAGCATGCTACTTGCCGTTTCGTACGACACATAAAATGTTGTTGTAGGGGGTGAGCCCTGTTCTCTGGCGGCCCCAAAGTTGTTGTTGATTGTTGAAATACATTTTTCTGACCACTGTGGCCAAAATCTGCCATACAATAAACAATAAACTTTTAATGTGTTTTTAATTCTGAAAAGATTCATAAGCAATGTTGCAAATACAAGCATAGGCTTATGTAAGCCCATGCATATTATGGATGTCTGGGTAGGATATTCCATAAGGCATTACTGTCTTTGATAATGACACATTACACAATATTCCGAAAACGGTCGTAAGTTCGGGGTTTCCATATGAAGACTTTTTCCAGATAATTTGTAAATACTAATAAAATATTTTAATTTTTTTTTACGAATACTGTTTAGTGGGACATTAACATTGACAAAAATATTACTATTATGATTATCCAAAGAAAATGGAAATGTAAAGTAAAATTCAAACAATTATACTTATTATAGCTTGGCTTGTGCTGCAAAATTAATCACAAAAGACTTCAACTTGACAAATATAAAGGGATAATAGACACTATTGTCATGAAGAGTTTTCTCTCTTGTTCGAATATCCATTGACCTTAAGCATTATGAATTAAGTTTACTTTGTGTAAGTGCGAGATACATGTCCATGAAACGTTGTTGTTTTGATAATTTCCAGATAAAAGAGGTTTTTTAAAAACATTATTTTAGTATAATTCAGTGTGAAATACTTTAGCAACCTATGAATCATGATATTTTAAAGATAATTTTAGAAAATCAGATCTACAAATCTGTGCCCTAGCTCTTAAGTAGTAACCTTGTACAGTTGTAATTATTCACCACAAGCCCTCCATTATCTACAGTATTTGTTGGAGTATAGTCATGTGAATAAATGAACAAATAAATTTGTTAGAATATTTCTTTCGGACTATCCGCAACATAGGATTTTGGAGTTTGATCATTACTTTTTTCCCTACATGTATACCTAAAATTGTAAACCACCACTCCCCTTCCCTAGAGGAATAAAAAAAACCTGTAACAGCTGAGAAAAAAAATTACACTCCACTGTTTATTCTGTGACATTGATGAAGCCAAAGAGATGACATTTAAGGCTTTCTGGAAAGCCAAACTTGTTATGAAACATATTTTTCTTTGAAGTGCAAAATAATAATAATAATAAAAGAGCGATGTGTGACATACTTTATTGATATTCAATAAACTCTATTTTCTACAAATTGTCAAGTTAATATCCTTTATTTCTTTTTTATTATCAATTTATTGAGATCATTTTTATTACATTGCAGGTGTTTTCGATCCAATTGAAATACTTATGTATAAAAGTAAACAAAAATGTTCGCACTGGACGTTGGATCCTGACTATACTGAAGGTAATATCATAGATTTTGTAATCATTTTGTTCTTTTGTTCTTTGTTTGATAGATATGCTTTATTTATAACTATTGAAAAAGAGTGCTCGTCGTCGTCTCTATTCAACCCTTATCCCCCCATTTTGAAAGTAACACTTTTTTATACTGCATTTCAAGTAATTAGACTCGATAAATTTTAAAAATACTTTGAAAAAATATTTTCTGCATATTCCCGATAAAAACGATGTAGGTATTTTATCTCAGGTTCCTTAGCTTTTTTACATATAAAATTTGAAATAACAATGCTTCAATTCTTTTTACAGGAAATCAAACTTATATTGGCAGTTTACTGTCCAAAGTTAAAATTCTTTTTAATCGCATTTCATATTGTAAGATTTTAGATTTGTTTAAAAAAATCTAATATAACACGTTTTTATAAAGCACTAGTCCCTTATTAATATAAAATTATCATCCCATTCCAAATGAAAGTATTACCAACTATGCAAAAACTGTTTTTCATTGTCAACCAATTTCACATATAACAAGAGAACATTGATGTAACCATCAATTGTCGCCCGGGTCAATTGTCGCCAGGGAAATAAATAATGAAAGAGTTGGAAATATTCATTTAATGTATTTCACTCAAAGAATACAAAACACGAACTGAGTCGAGTACGTTTTTATGCAAAAAGTAAAATTCGATGTTCTAAAAAAGGGACCTGTCGTTTTGTCGATAGCAAATGATAAGCAACTTTATATATTATGTATAAAGCATATACTATTGTTTACAAATTTACTTTATCGAAATAAATATATTATTTATCTCATAATTCATAAAGGGAAAGGACATTCTGATTATCATTCTTTTTAATGTTTAGAAAATATTCAAATCTGAATAAATTCTCCCACCTCAATCCCCATATATAAACATTTACACTTTTATTATATAATAAATTATATAATAAATTTTGTACATACTAGACAGTGCAACCTTTTTTCAAAGACATCAATAGATAAATGTGACACATCTTGTGACGTATCATCTGCATAAATATTGACATAAGAGTGCTTTAGACATTTTGGATAATTATTTACAAATAAAAAGTAAAGGCCCCAATATAGATCCCTGTGGCACTCCTATTGTAACATCTTTTTCATCAGATAAGACACTTTTCCATTTAACACATTGTGATCTTCCACTAAAATAAGACTGAAACCAATCAAAAGATCTGTGACATATGCCATATGTCAAAAGTTTGTGCAACAATACTGCATGATTTACAATGTCAAAGGCTTTACTAAGATCATTAAAAAGAACACCAGTTAAATTGCCATTGTCTATATTGTTTACCCATTTATCAATAATGTTATGCAAGGCCGTTTCACATGAATGCTTTGGCCTGAAACCAGAATGATGTTCAGTTTAAAGATTATTATTATTCAAATACCCATAAAAAGATTTAAAAACTTGCCTTTCTATGAATTTGTTAAAAAATTGTTTAACTGACACTAGTTGATAATTGTTAAGAATAAAATTTTCACCCGATTTAAAAGGGGAGTAACTCTAGCTTTCTTCCATTCAGATGGAACGTGACCATTTCTTTTAGACTTATTCGTCATAAAAGTTCAAATTTTGGCAATAACATCTCAGCTAATTTTTAACAATTTTACAGAAATAGCATCCAATCCTGTAGCCTTAGAATTTGACATTGCTTTTATTTCTTTTATGACAAAATCTATGGCAATGTTTGAAATACCAAAAAGACCCCCTTGGCATTAACTGTTCAATTTCTGGTAAGGAATTATCAAATTTCTAAAATAAAAATAAAATTAAATTTTCCGTCCTTCAACATCACTTCCGGTCAAACCGGAAGAAGCAGACAAAGGCTTAATTTTGCAATAATTAACATAGATTCGGAGGATTTAAACCATTTTTGGACGTCAACAACCATTTTTTGAAAAATGAAAGTCACTTTCTGACAAACAGGACGGAAGACCTACTTGTTGCTTTGCAACGAACTTTGCTCTAGTGTTTTTTATCTTTGTGAAAATATATGTATTAAACAAATGTTTTTATTAAACAAACTAAAGGTTGGAATATTTGTTTAATTGTATAGACTTGAACTAACATGACGAACAATGATTGAAGCAAAAAAAGTTATTTAATTTTAAATACATTCTTTCGAAAATATGATGCCTGATACAGATTTCAATACATGTATTATACTTTATTTAGATTTTTTTTTAATTCAACCTCCTTGTAAATATATTTTACTTGTGATGAATATTTGTCAAGTCTGTATTTCAAGCCCCTCAAAAATTTGGGCAATAAAATTATTGTGCGTTCGTCTGCCCAGGAAAAACATAGCCTTTGTCAGGAAGTCGATTAGTGAACGGGGTATTTGAGGTAGGCTTGTATGAATTTTCTTATATTGTAGTAGACGATCTCAGCATATGATAAATAACAAAGACGGAAGTATCCATAAAGCAGTATGCAGAAAATGATGATTGCTTTTTAAATTATTTTCACTTAATTGATATCCTAAACCTCTATGATAGAAGTATATAACAATTCAGGTAAGGTTGCAGAAAGCGGTGAATAGTATATTGTTTGAAGAATTTCTCATTTAAATATGTATTTATTAATTTTGAAAATTATATGAAAAATTCCAGAATATGGACCATGAAGACAAAAAGGCTTCTGAAGCCACCGCCCGAGTTTTCTCTGGAGGTCTAAATAAAAAACAAGTTATCGATTACTACAACAACTGGGAAGATTACGAAACGGTAACTATACATTAACAAATATCTTTAGAAATAAATTTCATTGGTTCACAGTTCAGAGGAAAAAGGTTTGTAAATATTCAGTTCTTACATGTATAAGGCAGACTAAGGTAATTAATATATTAAATTTACAAGAAAATTGAGACATTTGATTCTAATAATGGTTTATTGAATTAGTTTCTGAAAATTAATTTCTTAAATAACTTTCTAAATTCATGTAAGAAAAAAAGATGTTGCTCCGTAAAACAGATTATATCAAGGGTCTTTATCGGTTCAGCACCTGCAGCCTGGTAGATACAATGGGCCACTATACGCTGCTGAAGCAGCTGACCGAAGCTTTCCAAGCAACAAAGATACAGTTCAAATTCTGGACGTGGCAGCGGGTACGGGGGAAGTAGCTGAAGAGGTAACATAACGTCTGCTAATAATGGGGCACAATAATTACCCGTAAAAATTCCAACAGATTATTGGATGCATAGAAATCGTTATTCGGAAATTCACACATCTTTTAAATATCAATATTGGAGTACTAGTGTGTACAATCGAAATGGTTTTTTTCTTCAAAATTCCAGATGGCAATGACCAAGTTATATTAATTGATTACTTTCATTTTTATTAAAAAGGAAGCTGTTTAAAAACTCTGGGAAGTGTTGAAAAAATTTTGATACTGTTGATTTTGACTGATTTTGAAAAGTCAGGGTGTGAAGTTAAGGCTTTCATCCATAGAAGGCGACATTTCTGGATGAGTGAAACTTTCTCAAATGGGACGTAAAATTCCTTACAAACAATCAATCAAATGTTTAATTGTTTTCTCAATTAAAACAGCTTAAATCGTCCATTACAAAATTTTGTCTCGATTGTACATACAATAGGACAGGCAAAAGATTTGAGTATACAAAATGATTCATTTATTCTTCCACACTTATTTAGCTATCGTTAAACAATACTAGGCTTAAGTATTCGGCCAGGAGATATCTCTATATTAAAAAAAATTGCTCCTTCTTTAAATTTACAGTTGGTCAAGAAAGGTTTCAAACAACTTGACGCTTTGGATCCCAGTGAAAACATGTTACGTAAGGCACGGGCGAAAAACATCTACCAGAAGATTTACTGCGAGTTTCTGTCCAAAGAGCCTTCTCCTAACATCACTAATGGTAAAATACTTAAATCAAAACATCAGTAACAGTAAAATATACATAAACCCAAACATCAGTAACTGTAAAATACATAAACCCAAGCAACAGTAACGCTAAAATACATAAACCCAAACATCAGTAACAGTAAAATACATAAACAAAAACATCAGTTACAGTAAAATATACATAAATCCAAACATCAGTAACAGTAAAATATACATAAACCCAAACATCAGTAATGGTAAAATATACATAAACCCTAACATCAGTAACAGTAAAATACATAAACCCAAGCATCAGTAACTGTAAAAAATACATAAACCCAAACATCAGTACCGGTATAATACTAAAACCCAAACATCAGTAACAGTAAAATATACATAAACCCAAACATCAATAACAGTAAAATATACATAAACCCAAACATCAGTAACAGTAAAATATACATAAACCCAAACATCAGTAACAGTAAAATACATAAACCCAAGCAACAGTAACGCTAAAATACATAAACCCAAACATCAGTACCGGTAAAATACATCAACCCAAACATCAGTACCGGTAAAATACATAAACCCAAACATCAGTAACAGTAAAATATACATAAACCCAAACATCAATAACAGTAAAATATACATAAACCCAAACATCAGTAACAGTAAAATATACATAAACTCAAACATCAGTAACGGTAAAATATACATAAACCAAAACATCAGTAACAGTAAAATACATAAACCCAAGCATCAGTAATTGTAAAATATACATAAAATCAAACATCAGTACCGGTAAAAAACTAAAACCTAAACATCAGTAACAGTAAAATACATAAATCCAAACATCAGTACCGGTAAAATATACATAAACTCAAACATCAGTAAAGGTGCGCTACATCAACCAAAACATCAGTAACAGTAAAATATACATAAACCCAAACATCAGTACCGGTAAAATATTAAAACCCAAACATCAGTAACAGTAAAATACATAAACCAAACATCAGTAACGGTAAATTACATAAACCCAAACATCAATAACAGTAAAATACATAAACCAAAACATCAGTACCGGTAAAATACATAAACCCAAACATCAGTAACGGTAAAATACATAACCCCAAACATCAGTAACATTAGTAACGGTAAAATACATAAACCCAAACATCAGTAACAGTAAAATACATAAACCCAAACATCAGTAACGCTAAAATACATAAACCCAAACATCAGTACCGGTAAAATACATAAACCCAAACATCAGTAACAGTAAAATATACATAAACCCAAACATCAATAACAGTAAAATATACATAAACCCAAACATCAGTAACGGTAAAATACATAAACCCAAACATCAATAACAGTAAAATACATAAATCCAAACATCAGTACCGGTATAATACTAAAACCCAAACATCAGTAACAGTAAAATACATAAACCCAAACATCAGTACCGGTAAAATACATAAACCCAAACATCAGTAACAGTAAAATATACATAAACCCAAACATCAATAACAGTAAAATATACATAAACCCAAACATAAGTAACAGTAAAATATACATAAACTCAAATATCAGTGACAGTAAAATACATAAACCCAAACATCAGTAACAGTAAAATACATAAACCAAAACATCAGTAACAGTAAAATATACATAAACCCAAACATCAGTAATAGTAAAATACATAAATCCGAACATCAGTAATAGTAAAATATACATTAACCCAAACATCAGTAACAGTAAAATATACATAAACCCAAACATCAGTAACAGTAAAATATACATAAACCCTAACATCAGTAACAGTAAAATACATAAACCAAAACATCAGTAACAGTAAAATATACATAAACCCAAACATCAGTAATAGTAAAATACATAAATCCGAACATCAGTAATAGTAAAATATACATTAACCCTAACATCAGTAACAGTAAAATACATAAACCCAAACATCAGTAACAGTAAAATACATAAACCAAAACATCAGTAACAGTAAAATACATAAATCCAAACATCGGTACCGGTAAAATATACATAAACCCTAACATCAGTAACAGTAAAATACATAAACCAAAACATCAGTAACAGTAAAATACTAAAACCCAAACATCAGTAACAGTAAAATATACATAAACCCAAGCATCAGTAACAGTAAAATACATAAACCCAAACATCAGTAACAGTAAAATATACATAAACCCAAGCATCAGTAACAGTAAAATACATACACCCAAACATCAGTAACAGTAAAATATACATAAACCCAAACATCAGTAACAGTAAAATACATAAACCCAAACATCAGTAACAGTAAAATACTAAAACCCAAACATCAGTAACAGTAAAATATACATAAACCCTAACATCAGTAACAGTAAAATACATAAACCCAAACATCAGTAACAGTAAAATATACATAAACCCTAACATCAGTAACAGTAAAATACATAAACCGAAACATCAGTAACAGTAAAATATACATAAACCCTAACATCAGTAACAGTAAAATACATAAACCCAAACATCAGTAACAGTAAAATATACATAAACCCAAGCATCAGTAACAGTAAAATACATAAACCCAAGCATCAGTAACAGTAAAATATACATAAACCCTAACATCAGTAACAGTAAAATACTAAAACCCAAACATCAGTAACAGTAAAATATACATAAACCCAAGCATCAGTAACAGTAAAATACATAAACCCAAACATCAGTAACAGTAAAATATACATAAACCCTAACATCAGTAACAGTAAAATATACATAAACCAAAACATCAGTAACAGTAAAATATATAAACCGAAACATCAGTAACAGTAAAATATACATAAACCCTAACATCAGTAACAGTAAAATATACATAAACCCTAACATCAGTAACGGTAAAATATACATAAACCCAAACATCAGTAACAGTAAAATACATAAACCGAAACATCAGTAACAGTAAAATACATAAATCCAAACATCAGTAACAGTAAAATACTAAAACCCAAACATCAGTAACAGTAAAATACATAAACCCTAACATCAGTAACAGTAAAATACATAAACCCAAACACCAGTAACAGTAAAATATACATAAACCCTAACATCAGTAACAGTAAAATATACATAAACCCTAACATCAGTAACAGTAAAATACATAAACCCAAACATCAGTAACAGTAAAATATACATAAACCCTAACATCAGTAACAGTAAAATACATAAACCCAAATGCGTAACATCAGTAACAGTAAAATATACATAAACCCAAACATCAGTAACAGTAAAATATACATAAACCCTAACATCAGTAACAGTAAAATATACATAAACCCAAACATCAGTAACAGTAAAATATACATAAACCCAAACATCAGTAACAATAAAATATACATAAACCCAAACATCAGTAACAGTAAAATATATATAAACCCTAACATCAGTAACAGTAAAATATACATAAACGCAAACATCAGTAACAGTAAAATATACATAAACCAAAACATCAGTAACAGTAAAATATACATAAACCAAAACATCAGTAACAGTAAAATACATAAACCGAAACATCAGTAACAGTAAAATATACATAAACCCAAGCATCAGTAACAGTAAAATACATAAATCCAAACATCAGTAACAGTAAAATATACATAAACCCTAACATCAGTAACAGTAAAATACATAAATCCAAACATCAGTAACAGTAAAATACTAAAACCCAAACATCAGTAACAGTAAAATACATAAACCCAAACATCAGTAACAGTAAAATATACATAAACCCTAACATCAGTAACAGTAAAATACATAAATCCAAACATCAGTAACAGTAAAATACTAAAACCCAAACATCAGTAACAGTAAAATATACATAAACCCAAACATCAGTAACAGTAAAATATACATAAACCCAAACATCAGTAACAGTAAAATATACATAAACCCAAACATCAGTAACAGTAAAATATACATAAACCCAAGCATCAGTAACAGTAAAATACATAAACCAAAACATCAGTAACAGTAAAATATACATAAACCCAAACATCAGTAACAGTAAAATACATAAACCCAAACATCAGTAACAGTAAAATATACATAAACCCTAACATCAGTAACAGTAAAATACATAAACCGAAACATCAGTAACAGTAAAATACATAAATCCAAACATCAGTAACAGTAAAATACTAAAACCCAAACATCAGTAACAGTAAAATACATAAACCCAAACATCAGTAACAGTAAAATATACATAAACCCTAACATCAGTAACAGTAAAATACATAAACCCAAACATCAGTAACAGTAAAATACTAAAACCCAAACATCAGTAACAGTAAAATACATAAACCCAAACATCAGTAACAGTAAAATATACATAAACCCTAACATCAGTAACAGTAAAATACATAAATCCAAACATCAGTAACAGTAAAATATACATAAACCCTAACATCAGTAACAGTAAAATATACATAAACCCAAACATCAGTAACAGTAAAATACATAAACCCAAACATCAGTAACAGTAAAATATACATAAACCCTAACATCAGTAACAGTAAAATACATAAATCCAAACATCAGTAACAGTAAAATACTAAAACCCAAACATCAGTAACAGTAAAATACATAAACCCAAACATCAGTAACAGTAAAATATACATAAACCCTAACATCAGTAACAGTAAAATACATAAATCCAAACACATCAGTAACAGTAAAATACTAAAACCCAAACATCAGTAACAGTAAAATATACATAAACCCAAACATCAGTAACAGTAAAATATACATAAACCCAAACATCAGTAACAGTAAAATATACATAAACCCAAACATCAGTAACAGTAAAATATACATAAACCCTAACATCAGTAACAGTAAAATACATAAACCCCAACATCAGTAACAGTAGAATACATAAACCGAAACATCAGTAACAGTAAAATATACATAAACCCAAACATCAGTAATGGTAGAATACATAAACCAAAACATCAGTAACAGTAAAATACATAAACCCAAACATCAGTAACAGTAAAATACATAAACCAAAACATCAGTAACAGTAAAATACATAAACCGAAACATCAGTAACAGTAAAATATACATAAACTCAAACATAAGTAACAGTAAAATACATCAATCCAAACATCAGTACCGGTATAATACTAAAACCCAAACATCAGTAACAGTAAAATACATAAACCCAAACATCAGTACCGGTAATATACATAAACCAAACATCAGTAACAGTAAAATATATAAACCAAAACACCAGTAACGGTAAAATACATAAACCCAAACATCAGTAACAGTAAAATACATAAATCCAAACATCAGTAACAGTAAAATACTAAAACCCAAACATCAGTAACAGTAAAATATACATAAACCCAAACATCAGTAACAGTAAAATATACATAAACCCTAACATCAGTAACAGTAAAATATACATAAACCAAAACATCAGTACCGGTAATATACATAAACCAAACATCAGTAACAGTAAAATATATAAACCAAAACACCAGTAACGGTAAAATACATAAACCCAAACATCAGTAACAGTAAAATATACATAAACCCAAACATAAGTAACAGTAAAATACATAAACCAAACATCAGTAACATTAAAATACATAAACCCCAACATCAGTAACAGTAAAATACATAAACCGAAACATCAGTAACAGTAAAATATACATAAACCCAAACATCAGTAATGGTAGAATACATAAACCAACACATCAGTACCGGTAAAATACCTAAACCCAAACATCAGTAATGGTAAAATATACATAAACCCAAACATCAGTAAAGGTAAAGTACATAAACCCGAACATCCCAAAAAACTGTCTAAAAGGTAAATGTAAATCATTTGTAAAAATGTAAAATATGACATCGTTAAAATTGTGATTGTCTTTAATTTTTAGATGCATACTCGTGTGTTGTTATTTCGGGAGGGTTTGGAAGTGGTCATATACCTCCAGGTGCACTGGTGGAACTGATCAGAATCACAAAACCAGGTACACTATACAGATATAAATGAAAATTCCAATAAATTACAGAAACTTTTATACACTGTTGATAGCTTTTAAAAATATATAAAAAGTTTGAAAAAAAATAAACATCTTGTAATGTTCCTAATTCAAACCACAAATATGAAACATACTGGTAGGTTTAGTAATAACGAGTGCTAATGGAGTTTTATGAAGAGACTTACTTTTACATTCGACAGCTTACTTGGACATTTAAACCTGCATCATGTACGGAGGTACGGAATTGAAAAAAGAAAATAGAAAACATCTCACGAGGTGAAAGTTATTGTATTCCGGGCTTAGAAATAATTTATTAAACAAAAATTTATAATTGATGGTAAAATACATTTTTTGGATACTTTATTCAAGAGAATTAATATATCCTTTTATTTTAAATAATTTAAAAAATGAAATTATAACTGAATAAAGAAGAAGACACATTTCGGTGGGAAAACTCGGCAGAAGTTAGTCTAGACTTGAAGGAAGGGTGTTGAGGTTAGGAATATTGCCGTTTTCGTCCTAGACAACGTAATATGATCTTTGAAATAGCCCGTTATTATCTTTTTGTTAAATATTAAGATCAAAATTTTTTCACAAAAGAGCTCCCGTATATTTTTCTGATGTAAAAGTAAGCCGTCAACTGTAAAAGTCAGTGTCTTTGCAAAAGTCCAATATTCACTAATATAAGTTCAATAATTCCTTTATTATATAGCTAAAACATTTCCACATATTTTGTAATAATTATTAATATTTACATTTGCAAATGTTTTCTCTTTTTTAACACTATTTGAACAAGGCGTTTTTACAGCTCCGTAAAACAAGTTTGTCATGTGACCATCAGTTGATTGTTTAGTTATAATCGATCTACGTATTTTGATAGTGACATCATAAGCGATCGAATTATAAACACATTCAATATCTACAGTTAAGTTTAAAAAAAAAAAAATATTGGTTTCAAAGTTTAGATAAGCACGTAACTATTTGAACTAAATAAGTCACATATGTAAATATAAGTAATAAGGTATCATTTTTTTGAGTTTTATTGTGGTGTAAAGTAGGTTGGCACATGATCAAATCTTCCATAAAGCCCTTCGGGCTTTATGAGATTTGATCACGTGACCAACCCATTTTACATCCCAATTAAAACCCAAAAAATGATATCTTATTTCTTAAGTAAACAAACAAATAAATGAACAAAAAACTCTCAAATTAATGATATTTAAGCATAGGTATTCAAATTAACGTCTGTCCTGTTAGCGTTTAATATCGCATCATTCTGATCACCCTACAAAGCGATATGATTTGCTTATTTAGGCTTTAATGGGTCTAATATGTACTACATTTTAATAATAATTTCATTTTTGTGTGAAAAATAAACACATCCTACCTAGATGCCACTTTCTTTATCTAATTTAGCTCTGAGAATTTGACCAGACGACTTATTTTGTATACAACGCGGCTTTCGATATTAAACGCTGTGTTCGGAATGTTTCGGGCATACACATAATATACGTACAGTGTAATATAAAGTTAGCGTTCAAGAAAACGTTAAGATATTGAACGCTAAAATTCTCTAGATTTTTGGTAGTATTTTATTAGAGACTATTTATAAGCTATATGATAAAGTATTATATTCGGTTTAGATACAGGTGGAATGATAATTATCGTGATGAGGGAAGAATACTTAGATATAGAGGAGTACCGTGACAGCCTGGAGCGGAATTCATAAAGACTTTTAGATTTTTCTTAAAAGTTGTACTTAAACATTAAAAAAATTCTTAACTAAGAAAAATTCTTAAGTTTTAATTCATAAAGATCCTAAGCACAATTCTTAACTAAATTTTATTTTAAGAAAAACAACATATTTAAGTGTAAGCACTATGACAACACTAGCGATTTGCCGTACTTTTTGCAACAACAAACGCGCTCTCTAGTGAAGGAGGTAATAAATTCAAATGACGTGACGTAATATTAGCAGACGGGAAAAATGGAATCGCAGACAAAAAGGAAGCCAAATTGGAATGCCGATGAAACCCTTGCGTTGACGACTTTGGTCGACGAAAATAAGCATATCCTTAGAGGGAAGTTAGGTCCAACTCTGACGTCGGACATGAAGGCTCGGACGTGGCAAAGTATTACACAAAGGCTGGTTGCAATGGGCGTTGGTCCAGCTAGAACAGCTGCAGAAGTAGAAAAAAAATGGCACAATATTTTTTCCAAATCGAAATCGGAAATATCCGATCACAGGAGGGCTACGACTGGGACAGGTTGGTCATTACACATACTTCACTTGATCCGCGATCCTGTTCAACCCAATCATGTCTGTCTATTATCTATAGACTTTGAGCATACAATGTATCCTTCAGCAATAATCTTATGCATTAATTTATGCATTAACATTAAATAAACACTCAACCATTTACAAATGGTCGGAAAGGATTGAAATTTCTGCAGTTTGGTTTTTCCGCGTACATTCATATAGTTTACATGTAACCAAGGAGAGATAAAAGGGGAATAACCCAAAGTAAAATATTTTCATTATTTTGGGGTGCCCCACAGGATAATATCAATAGAAGTAATATCTTGATCATCTTTTTTCATTCAAAATGTTAGACTTATTAACTCACATCACTTTGAGTGACATTTCAAAATCAAGGTGAAAAGTGTTTTTATTTATAATACTTAAAACATTTTGAAAGGTAAATATAGAGTGGGGAAAATTATGCTGAATCAAATATTTGCATGTACTTTAAAGGTGGTGGTCCTCCTCCAAAGGCACTAAGTGCAATTGCTGAGGCTGTGTCCAGTGTTGTGGGGGAAAATAACACTTGCCTGACTGGAATTGGAGGAGGTGCAGACACTACACTGATACAGCTAGGTCTTCTAGGAGAGGAACCATTGTAAGTATAAATGAGGATATGCAAGTATTTAAATTCTGATTTAATAGAATCATCAATATAGATGAAGGAAAAAATGTTTCCACCTTAATTCAGGCTTTTCAAAAAATATTGAAAGTAGGTAGGCAATTTTATTTTTTTTTAATCTTTGAACTGATTTAATAAACAAATCTAGATTACCCCAATGAAAAAAATGAATTCAAATTAATTGAAATGTTGCTTTAAATAATTCATGAGTCACACAATTTTAGAGCAAAATTTTCATAAATCTTTTCTTTAAAAAATTGAGAGCTTAGATCTTCACTGCAAAAGAAAAGCACTGATTAAACAAATTATAATTAGGAGAGTAGAAACAATTTTTTTTTTCTTAGCAGATCTGCATTTATGGCTAATACTGTGCAATATATTGAAAGCTAGCACACTTGCGCCTTTGGTTCAGACAAGCCAGTGAGAGACTTAAGAGAGCTTTGACCACAAATAATTTTTTTTTTAAATGAAAAAAAGCAAAGAATGAAAGAATAAAATTGTCATAAATTTTATATTAAATAATAATTAAGCTTATAGCACAAATACATTATCATAAACAATTATGGATGATAGACAATATTCAAGTTTTATCAAAATAGATTATACAAAGTAATTATATCCCTTTTTCTTCCCAGCTGGTGGAATCTGTTTTTAATTGATCTCCTGCCACAATTCAAAATTATTTAATTTTTTTTAATGTTCACAAACTTTATTAGGAAAAAATGTTTTGTGAAAATTAATAGAGAAATGTAATTGGTATGAATTTTACAAAAATTAAAATTGTTTTTTTTCAGGGGCATTCATGTTATTGAAGGACCATCCGACACAGTGTCATGTTTTGCGACTCCACCACCACCTCCTATGCCAAGTACATCCACTTCACGCTTAGTCTCAAGGACCTCCAGCACTTCTGGGAGTACAGACCTAAAGAGAAAAATTGATGAACTTACTGTGAGGAAGTTGGAGCTCGAGGTGGAATATTACACGCTCAAAATCAAGAAAGCAAAGGGGGAAGAGTAAATCACATGATATTAGCTGCGATTGTCCTTTGCATTGGACTTCAAATTAAAGCCACAAATATATGAAAGGAAAAAATGCAGAATAAACTTGTAAAGTAATTTTATGTTATTTTTTTCATATGTATTTTCCAGAATTGTTATCTATCATAATTCATTTAAAATAGGTTATAAAATAAATATTTATCTTGAAGTATTTGACTTGTTTGCACACTTTGTTGATGTATATATCACACAAAAAATTTATTTTACATAAAATTAGATCTTTACACCCATCACTTGAAATATGAATTCAGAATTTTAAAAATGTTGCAATTTTTATTTTAAAAAAAAAAAATGAATGCACCATCCTCCTTGGTATGTTTAATATAACTTTTTCTGATTTCATGAATTATTTAACTTTAAATTTATTAACTTTTTATAATTCTAAAAAAGATGGTTTAAAACCAAAACATAATATACCTCCAGTACAGATTCAAAAGTGAGTGTCAGCAAACAGTTTTCTGTATCTAGTTCCATCATGATTGCAGTTGTTGTTGTTGTTGTTGGCATTAACAATCTGTTGATGATCATCATCCTCCCCATCTTCATCACCTGGCGGGGGGCATGCAATATTGCGGTCCTTGCAGATGTTGTGAAGGACGGAACAGGCTATTATCACCTGGCATGCCTTTTCTGGTGAAAGGCGGATCTCACCATGCAGGACATGAAATCGCCTCTTCAGCTGCCCTATCCCTCTCTCCACCACACTTCTCGTCTTCTTGTGGGCTCTGTTTTAATAACCAATATTGAAAAAAAAGTTTGGAATAAAACAATTTCTTAGTATAATGTTGAGGTAATAGTTCAGGTTTGATTTTCCAAAAAAAAACTTCAATTTTGAGATTATTGTTTATAATTAAGGAATAAGTCTTAATCATTTTAGCTCTTAACTAAACAGTAAAACTTAGTAAAATAAAGACATAAGTATTTCCAAACTTACCTATTTTCATCATTTTAAAAGTTTAAGTGGAAAAGTACACGGCCCATACAAAAATTAAGTGTCAATTAACTACTGATTGATTTGTATAATCCCATTTTTATTTTTCATATGCTAACAGGAACAATTTAAACATAATTTTTTTTAAATCTTTATGAGGGGTGTATACATGTACATGTTTCTAATCTTCTGTCATTTATAATATTTAGTAACTACATATATGAATAATTTCAAAAAAGAAGAATGAAAAGAAGCTAACAATTTTTTTTTTAATTTTGAATATTTAAAAAAATGAGAACAGCTTGTCATGTTAGTAAGCCATGCTTTTATTATAGATGCGCAAATATTTGGATCCACCTCGTAGATTTGTCTACAAGGGGGCGCTGGTCAAGAGAGGGCGCTCGATATGAACTAAAACGAAAGTAGCCTAAGTTACAGTTGTTCGTGAATCTTTAATTTTTTTAAATTCTAAATAGCTAAAACAAAGACAATGTTGTAGAAATTGGATAGAGAATAATATTCATTACCTGTTGTAATTCGTCTGGGAGCCCTGATTTGGTCGCAGAAACGGAGTTAATAGCCAGCGTTTGGAAGGGTAACCACTGTCTCCGAGTAAGTGAGTATGGACAGGGAGATGGTTTTGCTCAAATAACACCTTGATACCACTCTCATTAAGGATGCGAGAATCGTGTGTTGACCCTGGCCATTTAGCAACAACATCAATTATTCTGTAGTTTGGATCAAAAACAACCTGAGTGTTAATGCTATGAAAGTGGTGTCTGTTTACATATTCATTTTCATACTCATGTGGGGCAATAATCTGAACGTGTGTGCCGTCGAGGGCCCCTACGACGCCTGGGAATCCAGCAATTGAGAAAAAATCTTCTTGGTTTTTACGTATGGCCCCATGATCCAGTGGAAATTTAATGAATTGTGCAACAATTCCGGGGGAAGACAGACTTTTAATGGTTGCAGTAATAGCCCTAGACACAGTTGGTTGTGAAATTCCCAAATCGTCTCCATTGCATAGCTGCATTTTTCCGGTGGCAAGGAATCTGAGAGTCAGCAAAATTTTCTGCACTGGGGATATAGCATGATTTCTCCTTGAACTACTTACAATTTCATGTCCAATTAACCTTTCTATAAAAAGAATGCCAGCAGAATCCAATCTAAATCTTTCAACAAGTTCAGCATCACTGTATACTGCTAAACAATCCTTTCTTTCCCTAAAAAACCTTCTATGTAATCTAATGGTAGCCATTTTTATTCAGTACTTAAATTTTTCTTATCACTTTAAGAATACTATTGGGGACTCTTAATTTTAAGAACCGCTTAAACATTTTCTTAGAATTCAGAAGTTTTATGAATAAAATTTAAGATAAAAACAAATTCTTAGTGTTATTTAAGTATTTTTTATTGGTTTAAGAAATTTCTTACACTTAAATTCATTTTTAGAGTCTTTATGAATCCCGGTCCTGGAACCTCTGATGGAGAAATACCAGAAGGACGGACTGTGGGAGCTTGTAGAGAGGTCTATTGTCCACAAGTATTTCTGTGACAAAACGGGCGTCATCTTCCGCTTCCAAGTCAAACACAAGTCTAAGTGAAGACCAGCAACGGGAATGGGCCTTTTACAGACAGGCCACCTCGGAAATAATATTTCAAAAATATGAAAAAAATCAACTTATTTTCAATTTCTTTTAGCATTTCTTTTCTTGTCTACCTCGTTTTATGAATATTTATCGAGTTATGTATTGTGTATTTTTCTTTTTTTTTTTCTTTTGTGAACATATTAGAAAAAAATGTTTTATTACATACATACATAAACCAAAAAGAATATTGGTATTATTGAACAAACTCGAACTAACATTGTGAAATCTGATGGTAGCTAATGAAAAAAAAATACAGACGAAAGTTAAAGTTAAATACATTCCTTTCAAAACATATGTCTGATAAAAATTTCAATATAATGTTTAGATTTGAAATCCCTCCTTCAACATCCCTGTAAATAATTTGTTATTGATAAATGATTGTCATATTGATGTTTTACATGCCCCTTAAAAATTCGGGAGATAAAGTTTTTAAAATTTGTCCGTCCGTCAGTCCACGAAAATTATACATTTAAACAGTTGGTGTTAAAGTAATCATTCCATACAAGTGTAATTTTTGTGACAAAACCATTTTTTACCCATTATGTGAAAAAACGATTCTCAAAGGAAAATAAAATGTAAATGAAAAGTAATTTTATTTGTAGGTGTACAAAAACCTGTTCCGTGTCTTCAAGTAATAATATACAATTAATTACCCCTTGTGAGGTCAACATGGTGAAATAAGGACCCTCGACCTGGCCCACTCGGTGACCTGACCTGACCTCGGCCGCTACGCGGCCTCGGTCAGGGCAGGTCATCGAGTGGGCCAGGTCGAGGGTCCTTTTTTCACCATGTTGAACTCGCAATGGGTAATTAATTGTTTTATTATACCGATATATATTGAAAAGTATGAATCTCTAACCGTTATCAATTCTTCTTTTGATCGGGATCGGGATTCGATACAGACCGGAGAGTGAAGTTGTTTACATTGAATTTGACGTCTGCAAGTCGTGTAAGTTTTTGCATCATGATTTACTGATTAAAACAATATCTGCTTGATAGAGACATACAATGTTATAACTACCGACTACTTTTCCTCTGCACAATCAAAATGTAACACAAAATTCAAATCTTTAAATAGCCGCCTCTACATTCTATTGAACTGAATTGTAACGATATAGGGCTATTGAACTGTTGAAACGATATATTGTTACGATAAAAATTTACCGTATTCTGTATGGTAATTCAAAACAGACCATGCACAATTTTAAAAACATGTTGTTTTTTCGAATAATTATTATTTTATGCATTAACTTCATTCAAAAACGAATTTTTGATTAAGCGGTCATTTTTAGCGGTCATTAAAAATAATGACCGGGTCATTATATCCCACGTGCGATGATTCCTAGGTCAGTTGCTGTAAACAGTATCATTTGGAGTCATTGTTGTGTTTTAAAGTTTTCTTACCAGCCAATCAAATTCGAGTATTATCAATAGAGGTATAATAAAATTTTTTAACTTGATTTTTTTATTTCAACTTTGCTTTTCTTAAATCAATTTTACAATCTTGCAGATTCCTGTAGATGCTAAATGAGTACAAACACTATATAATTTATCTAGGTTACACAAATGTCATCATATCGTTCACTGTTCTTATGTAAAATTATCTCAAGTTTAACTTGTTTTGATGGAGGTATATCCTTGTATCCTTTACAATACAATATACATGATTGGAACCACTGAAGGCTTTTGTTAGAACTCTTAAAATTTATTGATAGGTCAAAATAGTTAGAGAAAATTTTGGTACACATTTTCAAAATTTAATGAAATTTGAAGTTTACATTTGAAGTTTTTGCCCTCCATTTTCACTGAAAGTGGGAAAATATAAATTATGCTCTGTCTGTACTCTGTAACAATTTCCAAGCAGCTTTTGAGCTTTTGAAATAAAATGCTCTATGCTGAAGGAAGTCCCCTATTTATTTTGAGGTACAGAGGTCAAGGTCATTAGAAGTCATTTCCCAGATAAGCTTGGACTTTTAGTAAGGCATGGCATTTTGATGCTACATAATTAGTCTCTGAGATTTACACAGTTTTCCCTCACTGTTGAAATATACAAAGGATAAAAATTCAGGCGAATGTCAACTGGTGTGTCAAATAGCCAATTACAAGTTCTCGCACGGCACAGAAGTGGGGCTTAAGTCGACTCATCTTTGTCAACAACAATTTAAAGTTTCTGATGTGATATATTTTTTAACCAATGAAAATCTGATCACTATTTGACAGACGCTAATTTAACATTGCGCCAAGAATGACTTATTTTTCGACTTACTGAAAGTCCAAGCTTACTTGAGAATTGTACTAATTCATACATTCTGTGTGTGTATGTGTAAAACTTTCATTTCTGGGTGATGCATGTATCTCAGGAAGCTTGCGAGTTTTTGCAATATTAAATTTTAACCATAACTCCCTATTGCCATTCTTCCCCTCCTTAATGTGTACACCCTCGACCCCCCCCCCCTCCCCCCTTTCAGCGCCTGTCTTGTTCTTATTTTCCCGAGGCAGGGACAGATTCTCTGAATAAGCTTGTTACTACAGTGTACGAAATGAATAGCAAAGGGGGGTACAGGGCATCATATTTATCATAGGTCATAGATTAATATTTTGACTTCAACCTATTACTAGATCAAAGGTTAAAGTATCATAGCTTTTACTCCTGGTTTCAGTTGATAGAAATGAATTGTTTTAAGTACAATATCTGAAATCACAGATTGCTGTAAATTGAGAAAATAAATTACTAGTAATCTAATTAAGAATTGTGTTTCTTATAATTTGACAAAATGTTGTAAGCTTAATGGTAAATAAATGGCAATGAAAAGGAAAAGTAGATATATAATTATTTTTTTTTATTTTGCACGATTGCACAATTTTCTTTAATTTCTTTCTATATTATTCTGTAGATCACAATGCCCAGCATTTTTAATATTGCAGGTTTTAAAGGAAATGGTTTTAGGCACTTATTTTACACACTAAATCTTTAGACCATCAACATGATTAAACCTTGTCAGTAACATGTATTTTAAAATCCAAAGATCTAGGAGGGTATTAATCAAAAGTAGGCCACATTGATATAATTTTGTAATTTCATGGCCTTTTTTATTAATATTTTGCATGAGAGAATTATTATGTATTTTGAGAGATTTATTAATATTGTATTTTCATTCAGTTCCTGTTTGTTACATGTACTTAAAGATGGGACCTTATTATGGGAAGTTTTTAGCTAACTTAAGCTTTTGTGTGCATGGTTTAAAAAAAAACATATTTGTTTTAAGTCACAGTGACCTACTCTTCAGTTGACCTACTCTGTGGAGCCAAGATGCATCAACTTACAGCGTTTAATGATTCTAGGCCAAATAATACCTGAAATATTTCATTATAGCGATAGAAAATGAAAAGTAAGACACAGTGACCTACTTTTCAGTCTGCAGGGGACCCAAAATGCACCAACTGACAAAGTTTGATGATTCTAAGCTAAATAGTTTCCATTATTTAAATATAGCCAAGTAACTTCAAAAGTAGGTCACTGTTACCTACTTTTCACTGGAAGTTTTTCAATGACCTTAACTGCATCAATTATGAAAGTTTCATGAACATAAGCCTTTAAAGCCTCATAAATATGTACATATCATATGTCATTAGCATAATGCCCAGGAGCAACTCTTACTGAGAGATATATACATTGAATCCTCTTTCATTAGCATGGACTCTGCCTGCTCCGTTTTCCTATACACAACACAAGTGCTTCTGCTCATTTTTATTCATTATTTTTAAAAATAAAGAATACAGTACATGTATTAAATTTCAACATTTCAACAATCAAAATGATACAATGGTTATGAGATATTAGACTTGCACTGAACATCTAGAGGTTTCATCGCTTTAAACCCCAAGACAAATGTGTATTTTGCGTTCATTTTTTTTTTTTTTTGAATTTAGTTCCATTCTGTCTGAAGACAATGGTGTCTTAACTCAACCATTTATATTTTTCTGTCCTGGTCAATTTTCCTCTTGAAATATCTGTAGCAAGTCTTTGATTATCATGTTATTGCACTAATTGACAATGTTTGATCTGTATTCAAGGTCTTTTTAACAAAACAAAAATGCAAAAATGCCTAATCCTGAAGTAAGGTAAACTTTTTAACTCTACAGAGCAATCCAAGATGAAACATAGTATCCATAATTTCTTCTCGATCTTTTCTGACTAAGAAGTTGTAAGGCCTTGAGTAGTGGATGCTACTTTTCTCATCTTCCATGGGATGACCATGTGCTAAGTTTGATAGATGCTCCCTGTCCAACTTCAAACATGTGAAAATGATCTGCAATGTTGAATATAACCATATTATATATCTTATACAAGAAATGAGAAAAATAATTTTTTTTATATGAACCGATTCTGGTATGTCTCATACATTGGCATGATCGAAGTTTTTTTTAAAACAGCTTTTCCAGAAACATGACTTTTCAAGCTCTTGCTGTTGTTCAGGTTTTTCTGTCCCAGTTTGTGATTTTTAAATATATGCTTGAAGGACATCCATCCTATATTCTTAGTTATCCCCCCTTTTAAGAGGAAATGACCCTTTTAACATGTTGAATTAAATGAACAAAATGGAAAGTTCAGAAGTTGATAAAAGAGGGACAAGTGTCAGACTGACAAGCATCAATCAATTAAGAACACTAAGCCCTTCCAGTGATAAAATCAATACAATAACTAACCATGTTCTTAACACAAATGATTCCTAAATTTGTATCTTGTAAAGCGGACTTTTTCCATTCCAAGAGAAGCTCTCCCCCGTGCCTTCCTAACAAGCTCTCTACAGACTGGCCTGTAAACTTCATGTTTCTGATATTGAAACCTGTGGTAGTCTTTTCATCCTGTGCAAGAGTCCACTTCTTCACCTGAAATTACATTTTTAATATGATTAAATTAATTTAAAATCTACAGATTTGATTATTCATTAGAAGTCTATGATGGCACTGTAGCTCTATAGTAATGTATTTGTAATAAAAATAAAGGAAGACAGTCATATTATACAAAAACCTGCACTTGAAAATAAATTCTTAGTTTCACATTTACAGACTCATTCCCATGATGTTTTTAATCTTGAACCAATTGCAAGTTTTGACATCAAATCAAATGTAGGCATAGAAACTTGATAAATAATTTCATAAAATTAACCCCTTTTTTAATCTCTGTTCTTTGCTAATAGAAAATTAACTGGCTATTGTCACTATTTGTTAACTGGATATACTGACTGCAATTCTGTCAATATAAATTCACACAATATATTAAAATATAACATTTTTGAAGAAGTTTCCCCATTATATCACAAATATAATATTTTTATCCGTATGCCATGAAAAATTGCCGAATCACACCGGATACAGTTATGTTCCACCGGAAACAGTTATGATGCCCTCCCGAACACAGTTATATTCCCTCGCGTGCAATCATTCTGCACATTAATTATGTCAGGTATGAAATTCACAGAGGCAGTTGCTAAGGAAACGTAAACAGTTCCGCGAAAGTTAAAAAGTCGAAACAACGTCTGCGATTTGTTTATTTGTTTTCAGAGGAATATTAATTAGATAACATTTAATTGTGGAGAAAAATTCTTTAAATACAACAAAGGTTATCAACGCAAGTGTGACCAGCAGACTGAAAACATTCTGCCATGAAACCGGACGAGATATTTCGGAATTATACTCAACGTACATATATATGTACGTACATAGCGTTCAATAAATATGTACGATGATCAATTTGGGTTCAATGCTTAAAAATGTTATATAACATATATTACATGACTTAATTCTCGGGCAGCAATACCAGAATATTTGCCCCTCGGCGACAGCCTCTGCCTGCGGCATCGGGCGACATAACACTCCAGGGCTTTCCTGTCACCTTGGGGCAAATATTCTGGTATGCTGCCCTCGAAGTCATGTAATATATGTATAATGTTGTTTGTTTGTCTATTGTTTATTGTTCTTCTCAAGAATTTTTCACTCATGGAGATGACACCACTTGCTGGTGGAGGGTTCAGGGCTGCAAATTTATTCATTTGTTTGGCACTCTAGGCTATCGAGCAATGAAGGAATTCTTTCTTATGCCAGTGTCTACAGCAACACTGAACATTTATACGGTCTCATCCGGAGGACATGTCTCCACGTCCCACAGTGGATTTGAACCTGCTACCTAATTATCAGCTCCGTACTCAATGACCTAGACCAGACACTCTAAGCACTGCCCCATGTGGGAAACTATAAAGTTTTATTACAGGACTGCTAACCATAATACATTTACAGTATACAATATAACTCAAAATTATTATCAGTGACAGATACCACTAAGAGATTTCCCACTAACCTCTCCAACTGTGGCTGTCATCAGAGATGGATTAGTTTTAAAATGTGTACACTCTCCCTGTAACTTGTATCTTAGATCTGGTACACTGGTTGTATCCACTCCATCAAGAGTTATTCTCACTTCTGGCGAAGCATCTCCTCTCCTGCAACATTTAAATTCATTATTATTTCATTTCAATAATTATTATTTCTTTTAGGGTTTTGATAGGTAAGAAATAAAAATCTAAATTCATGCGTCATAAAATACTTGCATATAAATATGATTTTAGATTCAGAGTATATATAGTGACAATCCCATTACATGTATTTGCTTTATTTTTACTCTTTTACTCTTGTGATAAAATCATCAAAATGAAACTAATTGGACATGAAATGGTTAAGACAAGAAGTCCATGGACAACGATGTTCACTTGAGTTACTATGGCCCAAATGTTCTTCACCAGAGTTACTCCATTATAATACCTACCATTGTCACATCCTACCACCCAGGGTTCATAATTAAAACAACTTAGAATCTATAGTACCTCAAAAGGTTCCACATAATTTTCAGCTTTTCTGGCCCAATGGTTCTTGAGAAAAATATTTTTCCTATATATATAATTTCAATATTGTACTTTGGTTTTCTATCGTGACCCCACTCAATTAAGTCTGCAATAAAATGTAACATATACCTACATGCATGTGTTTGCATTGATGCCTAAAAATTGGGGACCATTTTGTTACACCAACCTTGAAAAATGTTGTTGTGCGCTATGACCATGATGACCTAACATTTCAATTCTGAATTTGAATCATGAACCCCCACAGTATCACATTTGTTTGACAGGTATGCAAATGAACATTTTATTTTTCAGTTATTTACTATATGAGATGTACAGCAAAACTCATTTAGTACGAACACGGATATTGCATTCACAGATACTGTATGGAGAAGTTATCCTTAATACGGATATAATGAATTACGGATATAGCGAAGTAATTTCATGGGTCCCAGTGACTTCATTATGATCAAGTTTTACTGTATTTTTATGTGAGTAACTGATTACCTGTTTAAGTTAACTAACCAATATTTGCATCGTTCGACGGTTAACACGTTAACCAGGTACACGTTGCCAACACCAATTTAAAAATTCAAATTTGTTACAAGCATAACACACTCACATTGAGTTCAATAGGAATATCCTGCTGAAGAAGACCAGAAGCTGACAGAACTCCCCCTCCACTCCAAGTCTCCCATGGGAACTCCATTCTCTAATTAGGTCAGAGTAATACTCAACATACTCCAAAATAGCTGTATGCCAAAAGCTAAAAAGGTGCCTATAAAAATAAAAAATCATTTCACATAGATTAAGTCATGTTTATCTGTAATTGTTTATTTATTCAGCACAAAGTGAAGTAATCATACATGCCTTGCCACTTACTACATTACAGTGATTTAAAAATTTCAACAATTCTGTTATATAAACAACATATTTCTTCACCTGCCAAGTGAAAATGAAAGACTGTAATAAAATAATGAAAAAATGTTTCATATTAATCTCAGCGAAATGGGTAGAGACTAAAATTTTGGTCTCTACCCCCATCTCGCTGCATGAGATTAAATTCATACCAGGAGAGATTATCGAATGATGAAGTAGATCCTTTTGTCGACATTTCATCTTTAATTTTTGCAATTGCTTTTAGACATTTTTCGGTTTCTTTTACAACAGCAAATGGACTCATTGAATCAATTTCAGAAAATTCTTCATCTACATCTAAGTTCTGCATGCATTTTTTGGTTGATTCCACCAGAATTTCCTTAATCTCAAGAAGTTTAGTCCACAACTCAGCAAAATCTTCGATATCAAGTACAAAGTACAAGTCTTTCATGGCTGATTCATATAACTCGGCTAATTCTGTTGCTTTGTCGTCATAAATGATTCCAAAAGATTCTAATTTATAAATATCCCATTCTGAAACACGGTCTTTACAAAACCTGGCACATTTCACTCGGGTGGTGTACATGTAACTGTCATCGCTCTCATACGTCTGTGAGCTTGAGGGAGATCTTCCCCTTTTCCACCTTAATTCCGATGCTAAAGGAGATGAACAGGGTGATGAAATGGAGTTTGAAGAACCAGATGAATCTGAGGAATTAGATGAATCGTCCATTCTGCATCATGATCCTCCAAAATGAAAATTTCTTTCGAATTATGTTGTTAGAATTTTTGGAATCTCGATCCCGAATGGGAAGGTATAATGCCCTGATAGTATAATGCCCTGATTGATCTGATTGCATATATTTACTAAAATAAAGAGTTTTTATGTGCATAAACAATATTATTTTTATTTGAAATTGTGAATATTATCATTTTATCAAAGAATCATCAAGAAAATGCCAAATTAGATATTTTTATTTAGTTTTATTTGACAGAGAAATTGACAGGGGTATAATGACCTGATGACCTGATAGTATAAAAACTTCTAATAAACCCAACCTAGCAAAACTTAAAAATTACAATTTGATTTTATAACTTTTAAGGATCATATATAAAATTAGTTTAATTCAGTGTGGGCTAAATGATCTATTGTATATTGTTTAAAAATCGCTTTTAAAGTTTGCAAGGGGTATAATGTCCTGATTTCTGAGTGCTGCAAATATGCAAAATATTTATGTGTTTTAAGAATTAGGTCTTCGAGAGGTATATATGTGATATAAATATTTTAAAGTATCAGTTAATTTATAAATTTTATTGTATTCAAAGCCATTTGAGTACAATTTAAATAGCTACATAGCCTTGCCCTACGTGAATACCACTGTATGCACAAAAAAAGAAGAAATACATATATTTTTGAAATTTGACAGTTTTTTTCTATTATCATATAAACATCATAAATGACATCACTTTCCAAAAGTAAGCAACTAAAGTAGACTTCGTTTTCAAAGAATATTATTTTCTTACTTACATTGATCAAGAGATTTCACTTGGGGTGGGGGTGGGGGGTGGCACACCAAAAATGAGATATTGACAAAACCCCCAGTAAGTAAGATAATTCCATAGGTGTATGCAAGCATTGAGTGTACATCTGATTTATTATGTCCATAGAATTTAATTAGTTTCCATGAAATCCCTTATCTTTAATTTTTTATTATTTTTTTTTTTGGGGGGGGGGGGGTAAGGATTTTTTTCCTTGTCGTTTTGTTATCAATCATTTCTGAGTCACAGGGTGTTTAGCTAAACTTTCCAAAAATTGCCAGTCTGCGTCCACTTTCTCACTTACGAGCTCCTCAACTATTTTTTTCTGGATTCATTTCATCTGTCTCATTTTTATGAACATGCATTAAAAGCAAATTGTTTGTTCGTATTTGACTCATTGTTGATCTCAGTGATTTTTTTCAATCTTTTCAAGGCGCCGAATGAGCCCTAACTGATAGCGTTATAGTTGCAGAAAATTGGTTTGAGAATTTTTAGCATCTCGGCAAATTGACTTTTAACAGTATATATACTTCCTGCACTAAATGTTTAATTATTGTACTAACTGTCTTGTGTCTGATTAACTGTATATGAGCCTCGTCGGATAGAAATCACCAATATCATGTATAAAAGGCATGTAAAATGGGTCAATGTTGTACAGGTCTTGTCTACTGTTGTCCTCTCTATATGTTGCTAACAGTCAGGCTGCTTAATATGTCTGGGAAAATGTGGTTTCGAATCTCACCACTACTCATGATCAGATACACACAGTAGTGAATATTTGTATGGGATTTAAAAGTCTGAAAAATTCAGCCACACTTGATATGTATGGCGTACGTACAGTCTTTTGGCAAAATAGACTGGCAGTGAAGAACCTTTGGCTTCATATCTGTATCATGCATATACATTATACGAGTCGTGATCAAAGGTCGTGAAAAATTAATGGCATCTTTTAAAAATCTTCCTCTCCAGAACCATTGGGCCAAGAAAGATAAAACTCATCCTCAGGTAGTTTAGATTCAAGTTTGTTCAAATCATAACCCCCAGAGATGGGGTGGGGTCACAATGGCTGATCAAAGTTTTACATAGCAAAGTATTTAAAAAAAAAACTTTAAAAATCTTCTTTTAGCTCCAGAACTATTCCTCAGGTCGTTTAAATTCAAGTTTGTTCACATCATGACCCCCGGGATGGGGCGGGGCCACAATGGCTGATCAAAGTTTTACATAGGAATATATACATGTAGGGAAAAAATTGACATGTAAGCATTCGTAAGGACAAAAAGGTTTAAATTTATTCAAATAATGCCCAGGGAAGGGTTTAGCTAGCGGTCATGCACACACTGGGAGATCAAGTATTTATGTTGGAAAAATCTTTAAAATCTTCTTTCAAGTATGGCAAAATGATACATACAGGGTGTCCCAAAACATATGTTACACTTTTAAACCGTTATAAAAATTTAATGAATCAAGTTACATGAAAGAAATTTAGAATATAAACTAAATTTATTATAAAATTTTTGTCAAACATACATTTTTTACAGATTCCTTATTCATTTTCAATATTTTTCCTTCAAGATAACATAGGTCATTTTACAGCATAATCCAAATTACGTCCCTTGGCAGTAACATTGTTTGAACACGATTTCTGAAGTTTTTTTTACCTTGGTTTAAAATGTCTCGTCCTAACAGTTTAGAGATTTTACCACATTAAAATTGGGTTTCACCTAACACTAGAATTTCAGATTCTCTTTAATAACATTGTTAAATTGGAAGTGGGCTTTGTCGGAAAGCGATGCATCTATTAAATTTTCAGATTCGGGTCTAAATGAAATCCAGTGGGCAAACTTTAAACAACTTCTAATATCTGTCTCTTTCAAATGCTACATTACATTTATCATATGAGAAGTCAGTTTTAAATCGAATTCGAGTATTGCATGAACACTAGATTTACCAAAGGTACTATCTCCCGTCTAAGCCGGGATTTTTTAAAAATAATATTTCAGTAGAGTAATAACTCTATTAATGGTATTAATGTTCTCTTTGGTACGGGCACCCCTTTGTCTAATACCAGAATTAAGTCATTTGTCATTTATGGTGCCTTTAACTTCAAACTTCCCCACAAATCTGTAAATTAGCATTCCCTTGGGCACTTTCATTACAGGATGTTGTTTTCTCATGTTTTTCAATGACTAAAGGAGCATATTTACACCCATATTAAAGTTTGACAGTTTCTATCAGCTGTTCACATGAAGGTTTCATATTAAAATATGATGACGTCATTTGGACATCATAAATACCTGACTTTTAAACAGAATTTGATGAAAGTTTGTCAGATAAAATTTATGCTAATACACGAGATATTGACGAAATATCTTTGTGATTGCTTGTGGTTTGATTAAGTTATAGATTATTAAAAGTGTAACATATGTTTTGGGACACCCTGTATATATACTTTATTGATATAGTGACATTCTCAAGTATAAAAGAATTCTCCCCTCGCAACAAGTAAATTTTTCAATACTGAGCTGATTTTTTTTTTTTGGTTAAATAGCTCATGAAATCAGATGAGAGGTGTGGCCCATGGGCCTCTTGTCATACTTATTGTTAGTCCATTATTTATACACTAAATTTATGACGGATTTTTCAGTTATTTTCCGATCATGACAAGGAGCACACGACGGGTGTATCCAGTCAGCAGGGGATGCTCACTCCTCCATGGCACCGATCCCACCTCTGATGTATCAGAGGTCTGTGTTTGCTTTTCCTATTTTGTATTGTTTTCTGGACATTGATATTGAATAGTCATTACCGTTCGTTATATCCATATCCTTCTGAAATGATTCTATGCAGGGAAAACAGAATACAACACTGTAACCCAGACTACCGATCAAACCAGGCATTGAAATATCTCATCTTTTTAGCAAACCTCTTTGCTGGAAAGAAGATATTCCTTGGCTGATTTGGAGTACTACCAATCTCTTGTGTATGCCATTTTCTCAAGTGCAACCTGGGCCTTTGAACTGGTATTTCTGAGATATCTTCTTCTTCTGAAGAACAAGAATCACTAAAGGAAGAACCTCAGTTTATTTGTCCGTTTCTTTGTTTGCAGTTTCCCCCATTTTACCTGTTTCAATAGACTCCTTATTATTTTGTGTTAGACTAGTAGAGTGGACAGAGAGTATCTTGTGGTTGTTATGGTTTGAAGGAGCGATGAAATTCAGAATCCTCAAAGGACAACCTCGAACGTTTTGAAAGAGGTTCTTCATCATGCTTGTGAATACAGGCAACACAATTAGGTGTCCAACCATCTTTATTGTAGCAATTGTTTGAGTCTGAATGACGTGGATGACATCCTGATATTTTTTAGCATCAACACGGACAAGAGGAACAATAAGCTGATTACGATCTTGTCTGTTACACTAGAATTTTTCACCTCGGGGAAAATGGACATGATTGGTTTCTGCAAAATGTTAGATATCGAAGCTTTATACGAACATACCCAAAAGGCTTGAATACATGCGCGGATCTAGAGGGGGGAGGGGGAGGGGTCAGGACCCCCCCTGGTATTTACCAGGTTAAAAAATGTATATACTAGCTAAAACAAGAAAAAAGTTACCATGGACCCCCCCCCCCCTAGAAAACGCTGACCCCCCTGGTAAACGCGAATATGTGTGAAATGGGTATGAAAAGTGAAAGATTTGAGGAAATAGAAGTCACCACTATTTATAACTACGTACTGCATGGTTTATGTGCAAAATATCTAAAAGCAGAAAAGAGGATCTTCATAGAATTGATGCAATTTCAATATTTATTCAATGGAGCCTTGTCTTTCCAAGAACCGCCGACCTAAGGGTAATTAATTTCACACTTTTTGAAAAAGCAACCTCCCGCATTTTAACTATATGTGTATTTGAATTTGCTTGTTGGTTGCATACACAGGAAAAAATAGAAAATTTGAGATTATATAATTGATGCATTTTCATTATATAATTATCACAGCTCCGGTTTTACTCTTGAATCCCTGATTAGGGGCCATGAAAGTTTGATTGTTCAGTACCAAGGACCAAAGAAAAGGAATTGAAAGGCATAATGTATTTTTACTTTGGAATCAACAAACCAAGCCCTAGCACAGGATCTCCTGACCCTGGGGCCATGAATTTCAAAGGCTTTATATTAAGGGTTATTATCAGAATTGTGCCAACAGTCTAGTATAACTGCTTGATGTTCAGGAATACAGATTTTAAAAAAAAAAAAATCA